TAAGTCAAGTTTCCATTTTCCTGACTGAATTTATTTTATTAACCCACATATGCAAATTCGATTAATGTTAATCCTTGGTTCACAGCACACTATCGTCTTTGGTCCATGTAGCCTTTCCTTTGTTTTATTTACATTATTCATCTATTTGTTAACTTATTTTTCCCTGATAGAATTACTGTCCTGCAAATTGATTTTCCATTGTCCTTAGTATTTTTATCTATTAAATAAAGAAGTTAAATTTTATGGTATCTTCAGTCTCTTTCAGCTCTGATGTTCTATGAATGAGATTAAGACCTGAAATGTGTTTGGCCCACTTCCTGGCATATAGCAAGTGCTTAATAAATTGTAGTTATTGTTATACAGTTGACCCTTGAACAACATGGAAGTTAGGGGCACTGACCACCCCAATCCCTGCACAGCCAAAAATCTGACTATAACTTTTGACTCCTCTAAAACTTAGCTACTAAGCCTACTGTTGACTGGAAGCCTTACTGATAATATAAACAGTTGATTAACACATATTTCCTATGTTATATGTATATGTATTATATACTACACAGCATAAGCTGCTTCTCCTGTTATCGTGACATTTTTTTAAGCCAAAACTCTTTCTGAAATTATCAAACCATCCTTTGCTGACATTAAATTCTTGAGCTTTGGATACTTCAGCTTTCTTTTGCTTTAAATTGTCATATCATGACTTCCCTTTTTCTCTAATCATATTAGACTCTATAGGTATGCCTTTCTTATTAGCAATCCTGCACCCACATAAAAGCTGTATTTTCAATACAAAATAAAAAGATATTTCACAAAAAGTGCAAGTTTTTCATGACTGCTGGCGTAGCTGCAGTGATGGCTTCACAAATTTTCTTTTCTTTTTTTACAATAGTCCTTATGATGAATTCATTTATCTTAAAATGGTGGGCAACCGCAGCTGCAGACCGCAATCTACAGTATGTATCAAGCAATTCAACTTTTTCTTGTAACGTCATGACTTTTCTCTACCTCTTTAGAGCACTTCCAGCATCATTAATGGCACTACATATGGATCCCATGGTGTTATTCAAGGTTTATGGCATAGCACTAAACATGATGAAAAATATGGAAGAACCATGAGAGATCACTTTTTACAGCAATACACAATTTACTGGAGAGACTAACTCTTCACATGAAGATGATTAACACCATGTGGCATTTTAAGCAGATACTTGCAACCCTTGAGCTCACCGCAATATGTATTAAACATTGTACAATGTATATTACAAATTAATTTTATGCAGTTATGATTTAATAGTACATCTTTATTTACATTTCTCTCTACTGTGAATGGTGCCATGTATGATCTGTAAGCATTTCCATGCGTTGAATTTTGATAAATTTTAACTTTTTATAATACATTTGTGTATATTTTATGGTAGTAAATAATAAAACAGACCAATATCTTCATATATTTTATGCATTCATGACATATGTTTCTCTTAATTTTTTTGATATTTCTAAGCTACAAGGGTCTGAGAGTTATTTTAAACTGTCACAAATCTCCAAAAAACTTCCAATATATGACAGCATGACTTAAAAAAAAAAAAAACTTCCAATATATTTATCGAAGAAAATCCGTGTGTAAGTAGACCTATACAGTTTAAACCTGTGGTGTTCAAGGGTCAATTGGTAATTTATTATTATTATCATTTTTAAATTTGATGAACTTTAACTGCCAATTCTGAATTTGATACACTGGAAAACTGTTTAGGATCCAATAGACTTGGTAGCTCTTCTAATGGGCAGTGAAATATGCAGTGGTGCTTTTCCCCATTGGTCAGTTCCAAACTGCACATTACCAATTTACCACTGCTTAACAGAATCTCAGGTTAGAACAGATCTTAAAGGTTAATTTCTGGCAATGGATGTAGCAGAGGAAGAAATGAAATGTCTCATCAGGCAAACTCTTCCAAGAATAATCTTCTCCAGTTTGCAGAGTTTCAAGATGGGTCTTTACGGAGTTCTTGCTCACTTCTCCTTCTACTAAACTGCTTAGATTTCTGTTCATTGAATTTCAGTGAAATTTTCTTTTAGAGCTGTAGGTGACCTTGGCAGAGAGGCCAAACACTAGTGGGGCCTCATTATCAAGTAATATGTTGCTAAATATAAGGCAGACTAAAACTTAAAACTGCCAGGTTTCCTGCCTTATGTCACATTAAAGAGGAAGAATCGAGGGTCAAATTTTGCAGTGCTATTTTTTGCATACAAAAAGAAAACATTCGTGCAAGACTTGGATTTCAGCTTCTTTTCCAAAGTCAGTGATGATTTTGCACTAACCACTACTATTCTATCAGTTTGTCCTTTCTTTGGCTACTGAGGCATTTGTAATAGGACTAACTGTCATAACCAATAGAGCCTAAGGACAAGTTCTTTGCTGTAGCTACTGGTCTTTATCTGGAAGCTTCATTCTTGGCAAACAGGGTTCTATCCAAGGAAGCTAACAGCTAACGAGTTCATTACGGTAAATCCCAAAGCAGGAAGCAGAGTGTGCCTATTCGTCAGTGGAAGAGAGAGACTTTGATATACTTTAGGTTTAGGAATCATACTTTTTGAGAATGTACTTATGATGGAACTGGAAGATAATTGCAAGAGCTATGGACAATAACAAGGATGAATCCACATTCATACGTTTGATTTAACAGATGAATGAAAGTTTCAAATCTTTTTTAAAAAAAAAACAGGGCTAGAGTTTTCCCTTTTAAATACCTATGCATCCAAATGAAAGAATATGCCCTTTGAGTAAGCTAAATGCTGGCCCAGGGATTGGTTTACAAAGTTGAAAAGTGGTTCACCCACTTCCTACCTCATTTTCCAATTCTTTCTCATGTTCAATGCAGTGAATGTTATGTTCGTGTGTGCCAACCAGGGCATGCTTGCAGAAGGCAAGAGTGTTAGTGGAAAGAAAAAAAGAAAGACACCATGGAGAAAAAAATGTTAATGACTAATTTTGCCACCCCCAAGAAAACAACCTGCAGGCCTCAGAAGACCAGATGGAGTGAATTCCTTCTCATTTCATTCATAATATGAAGCCCAGAGGCAACGTGGCTTTGAAAGAGAAGCATTTTGTGCTACCTTTGTAGTCCTAAACAATAGCAGTCCCAGAGTCTCAGAGAGAAACTCACAGGCATGCTTTAAACTTGAGTCATGAAGTAACTTGTGCAGTGACCACCCTCCTGTGGATCATGGTGAGACAGGCTCTCTCTCCCGCCTGACAGCAAATGCCCACAATTCTGAAAGAAAGGAAGACTGCTCTTCTCATCCCATCTGAAACACATAAGCTTCTAGCGGGATAATCCAATGTCTCTATGCAAAGATGCAGATGGTCAGAGAGGCAGTTAACAGTGATGTAACAGATTGTGAACTTTCTAGACTCCATGGTTGGGGAAGGAGGAAGAGGTGTGTCCAGAGGTCCTGGCCAATAGTGAGACTGTACCGAAACTCTAAAGCCAGACCATAGTGCTTATGCTTTTCCACTTATAAATAATAATAATAATAAACTACATTTACTCTAGAGTATTCAGAGAGTCTGAATTTCACTGATCTTCTGTGCCTCGCCTGCCTCTCCCCCTCCCTTTTCTCCAGTGTCCAGCACAACGCATGGCACATCCTGGGTGCTCATAACAGATGCATTGAGCCAGTCTAACAAATAAATGAACAAAATACATTCCCTTCTGCAAATGATTTAGTTCTTCTGATCTTCTACTTCTTCATCAGTAATATGGGGATAATGTTATTTTTGTGGGGTTGTTTTCAAGATTAAATAATATTTCATACCTTACACAACGTGTAATGTGTCATAAAATGGCATTCTACAAAGTGCTAGTGGAATTCTAAGTTTGCAGATATGTTTCTAATAAAAGAATCATTACCCAAAGCTATAGGTGTGATGGGCTAATTAATCTCAAACACACTTAACTAACAGTTAAAAAGATAACAGTTGGAGAGTGGAGACAAAAAAGGAGGGAGCAGTCAGGGATACAGTGAATAGTTTTAAGCCTAGTTGAATTATTTCATAAGGGGTAATTTTTCTTTTCACCTTAAGTCACCCCATTCCCCACCCCCGCTCCAAAAAGGCAGGGAGATTGTAAAGCAGAAGCCAGAGGAGGGTTAATCCTAGCTCCCTTCTGCCTTCTGCAGTCACAGTGTACAATACAGTAAAGAAAGTGACGCGGCCACATATTTCATCTGAACTTCCTCTGTGGTCCTTTTTATATTAAAGTCTTTCACTGCTACAGGGCTGTGCTCGGAAAAGTTGGAAAATTTTCCCCTTGGTGGAGAAAAAGAAGCCCTCATCAGACGCAATCCAACAAATGAATCAAGTTATTCCCTTGGCCCAACATCTCCATCCACTTGCATACCAAATATTCATAGAAACATCTTTCCTCAATTCCACGGCTGGAATTTTACTCTCCTGTGGCGTTGCCTAGTATTGGATGCGCTGATTTCGAAAGTCAGCTGGCAACAGACTTGGCTTTGGAGCCACAGCGTTTGGCTTTTGTAAGAGTCGATGCGATTTACCGTCCTGTGTGGTAGCTTCTCCCGGGAGCAGAATGTGTAAAATAAACAGTTGCTGAAAAGCATGAAGAATTAACGAAGTGAAAATCTCGGGTTATTTGTTCGACAATTGACACGCAAGTGACCTCCTCAAATGCTTAGTTGTTTAAGGACGTTTAGAGTGAGGATGAATGAATCTTCAGGGCTCTTAACTCGCACCAGCGTATACATCTCTGTAATCTTTCGGGAAGTGGTGCTAAATTCATACACATCCAGCAGGGAGTGGAGAAAACGAGGTAACACCAAGACCTCGGAGCTCTCCTCTCAGCCTTTTGGAAAGACTGGCCTTTGCTGCCCGGGACCCTGGAGGTTACAGCTGGGAGAACCCGGAGGCGCTAGGACCTGGTTGGCGCCTGGCTGCGGCCGCTTTCGAGAGGGCGGAGGAGGGAGAGGAGGAGGGGGATGTGGGAAAGGAGGGGTGTTAAGGGGTGGGGGAGTCATTTATGCAGAGCAGGCACTGCTGCCATTGCCACTCAGAATCCCCGCGCGCTGCTTCGAGCCAGAGGGAGCGCAGGGAGCGAGCAAGCGAGCGCTCAGAGCCCGGGCCAGCAGAGGGGGCGCCCGGCCGCTGCCTGCACCGCCCCCGCCGGCCATCTCCGTCGCGCTCGGGGGCTCCGGGAGGAGCGAGAGCTAGTCGGAGAGTCCGGGAGCCGAGCCGGACGAGACCCAACTGCGGAGGGCGCCCGCCCCACTCAGCCGCCTCCTGCGCCCGAGCCAGGGAGCACCGCCGACCGCCCCGCGGGCCGTAGAGCAGGGAGCACAGGTCCCCGCAGCCCCAGGAATGGTCTAGGAGCCGGCGCGGGGCTCGCTGCTCTGCTCCCTGCCGGGGCTCGCTGCCTACTGCCGATCGCCCGGGGCTGCGAGCCGCGGCGGCCCGGGGCTGCGCGCCGGGGCGGCCCAGGCCGGAGAAGTTAGTTGTGCGCGCCGCTTACTGCGCGGAGCCAGCCAGCAAGCGGGGGAGCGGCGAGGCGCCGGGACCATGGGCTGGGGGAGCCGCTGCTGCTGCCCGGGACGGCTAGACCTGCTGTGTGTGCTGGCGCTGCTCGGGGGCTGCCTGCTCCCCGTATGCCGGACGCGCGTCTACACCAACCACTGGGCAGTCAAAATCACCGGCGGCTTCCCGGAGGCCGACCGCATAGCCAGCAAGTACGGATTCATCAACATAGGACAGGTAACGAACTACAGGCTGGCCGGGCCCTCAGCCCTGAAGCTGCTGGGGGCTTCTTGTCCCCTCCGGGTCGAGCCCCCTCCCCCCCTACCAGATGTGCTCTAGCAGCTGTTGCCCTAACTCTTGGGCGATGCTCTGCCTCTCGCGCGCTCTCACACACAGACACACACACCCCAAAGTTGCCGGGATTCGTGTTTTGTTTACTTGTCTTTTGCAAGCCACGCGGGACTGGTAGGGTCTCTGGAAAAATCCGGAGTGCCCCCGTGGTGGTTTCAGACACGGCTGGACCTTTTGACCTGGAAAGTCTAAATAGCACTAGTAGCCTGAGGAAACGGCTCAGAGGGTGGGCGTGGGGAGAGGGGGAAATGATGTCTTTGGGGGGTTAGGAGGTGAGCGCGCTCCTGGTGCCGGCGGGGAAGGGAAACCCTTTCCTGCTCGGACCTGAATTTATCCCAGAAAAAAGTTTCCTCTTCTTGGGCGAGAGAGCCGCTGGCGCTGGAGACGCTGGAGGCGCGGGGTCTGGAGCTGGAGGGGAGGAGAAAGGAGGGGGAGGGAAGAGGGGGGCGGGACGCCGTGTGAGCGCAGATTTGGGGGAGACCTCGCCGCTTCCTCGCCTTGAGTGGGATCCGTGTGGGGGCTCCCGGGAAGAGGATGGAGGGGGGAGGTGGGAAACTTCTGAAACCCGATGACTGGGTTCTGCTTCGGGAAGACCGGGAGTCTGAGCTGTGGGCTAGAGTTGGGAAGGCAGCGGGGGCGCGGGTTTTCGTGGGGTGCTGCTCACGGGCTTTTGGCAGAGCTGTCCTGTTGGAGGGAAATGCCAACAAATTGAGGTGATGTTATGGGAATGATTGGAAGCGCAACAGATTTGCAGGTACTCGGGACTAAATGGTCTTGGCTTCCTCGTTCTGTTCTCCCCACCCCCCCTGAGAGAAATGGGGGTGGAGAGGGCTGTGTAAGTGGGTCCCAAAAAATGCTCCCCCACTGTAAGCTCCTCTAGGGCTGACCTGAGGAGGGGGCCTTGGCCGGGCTCAGAGGAGACTCCGCTGGAATGGGAGGCTAGGGTGATGGGTGGCGCCCTTCCAGCGGGCGCGCTTTTAGCACTGCTCAGGGTGCACGCACCCTGCGTGCCATGCCAAGGGGAAGGGAGAGAAGGTGCCAGCTGTTGCCGGTGGAGCAAGAATACACAGATGGTTTCTGAGGCCATTGAGTTCCACACCCAGGAACGCGGAGACCCCCTCCCCCCCGGCCCCCGGCCCCCGGCTGCCTGGGGGACGTGATATCGGGAGAGGAGGCAGAGCTGGCGAGCGCGGGAGGGTTCGAGCTCCAGCTCTTTGCCCGCCCAGAGGGAGGATATATTCCAGAGAAGCCAGCCCTGTGGAGGACTGTGACTAGGGCAAGGGGCACGGTTTGTATCTTCCCTCCCCCCAAGGAAGTAAGGGAAGCCAGCCAGATTTTGTTGCCTGAGTGCCTGTCATCTGCAGAAGAGTTCCATTCTAATGGCTTGTTAGGATTCTGTTGGCTTCTGTTTCTCCGGAAGAAGACACAGTCCGTTCAGGTCTTTTTATACGAACTTAAAGTTGGGCGCTGTATATACCCCAGGAATGTAACTGGGAAGACTAGCACTGAAAGTAGTCACGTTAATCTTTCCAGAGGACTTATCTCTCAGGTTCGGCTAACACTGAGCATCTCCCATATGCCAGGCATATTTGGAAGAATAAGTTCTTAAACATAGCCTTCTTTTTTACTGTCAAAACGACCTCATTTGGTGAATATTACTTCACATACAGCAGATGAGGAAACTAAGGCTCTTGAGAAGTTGACACCAAACAGGGACACCCACCTCGACAATGGCAAAGCCATGATTCAGACCTAGGACTTTCTCGTTCAGGCCCCGTCCCCTTTGGATCCAGCCTTTCAGGGAACCCCTCCATTCTATGAGTGGGAAGGAGGAAGAAAATAAAATCCCCATTTCCCTGAATTCTGATTTAATAGCTCAGTAGACTGGAAGCAAATATCCATTCTTAATTCACAGATATTTAGTTCGGACAAACCTGAATTTATAAGAAACTTCTTGACTTGCAAGGGCAGAAGCACCTGTATCTTTCTGAACTAATTAAGTAGAACTTAGATATTGCAGAATCTGGCATAGTGAGAGGGGAGAAATTATCACCCAACCCACTTTTGAACAAGCAAACATTACAGTGGCCTGCAACCTCTGCCTGACTTTTTACAAATGGCCTTATAATGAAGATTCATGGCTTTTCATTTAAAAAGTAATACCATAAAAGTTTACATACAAGTAACACCAAGTACTATTTATTGTGGTTTTTACAATGCCAGTGAGGAAATATAGTGCTTATAGAGGTTACAGAGGACCGACCCCTTTAACCAGTGTAAAAAGATCAACTATTCTACAGTGTAAAGCATTTCCTCTGTAGATCAAAGGGACTTAAGCCTATGCTAAGTCTTTGGGGCAGTAAATTGAGTTCACACGTGCAATATCATTGCACTGTAAGGGCCAAACGTATTTCTTATTCATTCTTTACTGCTCTGACCTTTTAACACTTGAGACATCCTTTTGTTATTTCTTTCCTTCAATAAACCAGCTGTGGATCAGTTGAGGGCAGTAACTAATTAGCAAATGTCTCTGGAATGTTCTCCCATTTGTACCCATTTGGGCTTAGGGTCTGTCTCATCCTCTGTATAGCAGGTTGGAAATGAAATCTGTCATTATGTCTAAAGTCATTTACTATACTAGTAGTGTTTTTGATATCTTCAGTATGATATTCCAGGTGAGTAAGGTAGTAAATTTTTACCACTATAAAGGTACAGTTTTGACCATCTACTCAGAATATCAATGTAATGTTTTGTGTAGCATCTTAGCCTTTAAAAGACACTAGAGATAAAATTTCTGGCCTGGAGATTTCTATGGAAAATAATGGGCATGCCTCTTCAGTTCATAAAAGATAGGATGTGCAGAGTAACACAGAAAGGAAGCAAACAAGCAAAAAGGATGTGCTTAACTTCTGGAAAGGAGCAAAAATGGGGCTTTCCTTGGCTTCCGTTATGGAGATAGCATTATGTTTCGGTAGGTTTTCACAAAGTATTTATATTTTGTGAATGGTTATGCCTTGAAATGCTGACTGATACTTAACCACAATCATTGTTAGTAGTTGTCATGTCACCATGTATCATATTTTGCTTGGTATTAGAATCAGCTACAGAATGCCCTGCCTTCCTTCTCCTGCAGTCTCTAACTACAAACCCACTTAATACCTAGGCTGACCAGCACCTGCTGGGCTGGCTAAGGGTAGGAGGTGTGCATGGCTGCACTGGGAATGGAAGAAGAGGCCTTTGTCCTCTCTCACCAATGGTGTGCTCTGACCCTTTGAGCTAACAATCTACTGGTTAGAGAATTGAAATAATGTAAAGGAATAAGACCTGACATATTGTTAATTGTGGGCCTTTGTTTAGAGTAAATCTATGAAGAGGAATTAAGGTCTTGGTTATTTGAATCCAGGGAGAAGGGCCCCCTGTGAACAGATTGCTTGCAATGTGCAATAGCTGTATTTATCCTCCTGTAAGTTGCTTATAATCCTTGATTTCAGGCTTGAGAATGCCAGTAGCAAAACCCTCTCCCCAAACTATATAACCTATCTTGAATAAGATCCCAGAAGGATAAAACCAGATGCAAGCCATACTGGGGAAATATTTTACCTGGAACCCCCACTGACAGCATGTGGACTCAGAACTCTGGAGAGGCCACTTTCGAGGCTGTGAAAGCAGGAAAGTCACTGAACTTAATGGAGTCCCTGTTCCTTCATCTGTAAAATGATAAATCTCTAGATAATAGAGTGAGTTAACTATGCATTGCTCAGCACATAGTTAGGCTTGCAGTGAAAGGTTTGTTGAATCTGAATCTGAGAAGAAAGGTTGAAATAAATGAGATCCAAACTTTTTGATATGGAGAAAGGAAGACATTTTTAAAATGGAAGATGCAAAATGTGAAGGTGACGAAAATAAATTTTCGATGGCTGAGTTAGAAGAGCTAAATCATAGCTTGTAGACAGGGAAAATGATTTTCCATTTCAACTCACAATTTAAAATAGTTTAAAAATAGTTTTAGGTTGGATTCTAGACAATTATGGCTGATTTCCCATAGCTGTGCTCTCTTCCCTCATTGATTCTTGCTATATCCCATTAAATATTATAGGATATATTATAGGAGATGGTAGAAAGGGAAGAAAAATATCTAAAGAATTATGTTAAATCATACTTGAATTTATATCTTACTTGATTCTGAATGTAGTTTGTATGAGTAAAGTTGGAGGAAGAATTTTTTGAGTAGGTAGGAAGAGATACTTTTCAAGGAGGAACCCTGTTCAGAGATGTTGTGTAGGCCTCCTACCCTGCTGGTTAATTTTGACCTGTGAGTAATATGGGTGCTTGAAATGTTGATTTGCAATAGGGAGTGAGTTCTGGGTGCTTATGGATGGCATTGGAAATAGGGGCCACGGCTAGTCCGATGGGTTGTAAGGGAGTGCACTGTGCCCCTCCAGTCAATTGTTAGGCATTTTGTAAACAGAAGAGTAAATTGGTGTTGTAGTCCCACGTTGACCCTGTGTGATGTATCTGGCTTTGCAGAGGGCAGCTCTTCTCACCCCAAAACCTCAGCCCTGACCTCTGCTTGCTACTCTTCACATGCATATTACTTATGATGAGGTAAATAGAGGGTAGAAGAACCTTTCGTGGAAAAAGCAATTCAGAGTGCACGGCCCGATGGTGGTGGGTCTGTTGCATTAACCTCCTAGCAAGGAGTGGCTTGTATGTGGTCATTTGGGAATTTGGGGGGACTGTTTGAAATGAACAACTGCATTTTTGTGAGCCCAAAGGCAGCCGAATTTGCGTTATCACTGTCTTTCATGGGCGTATAGCCAGAGGTCCTAACTGTAAAGGTCAGCCAGAGAAACAGAGTAGTATGCTGGGAAAAGTTTCAGCAATGT